ATGCCTTTGCATGGACAGTGGATGTGTGAGCTGTACACCACGAAGCATTAACTCAACACCTTGCACCTGAGATTAAAAATATATCAATTATATAACTATAATGCCTGTACTTTGTAATGTAAACAGGAAAAAAATGTTATGACATGAGCCAAAAATATATAAGTACTCTTCTTGCTTCTTTACTGAACATGCGCAGCTTGCATCATTTCGTAGGGAGACATAACGTTATCCATCCTCCTCAATGACCTTTGTGTAGCCAATGGCATCCTGCAAGACACAATGGAAGTTCTACTTCTCTCTTTCAAATGGTTCCACTCATGCAAATGTCTTTCTGAAACCAATTACTTTTATCATCTGTACCACAACATCTAAGTCTTAATAATATAGTGAATACATTGTTCTCTGTTGCTCTGTATCAAGCCTTGCCCAGGCCTTTCTCTAGGAGTTGTTAGCTTCCTAGGGACCAGAGGTCCATATTTGGAGCTTCCTGTTGTGCCTGGAACAGTGTTGGGTACACAGGAGTATCTCAGTAAGTATTTGGACTCATAGATTTCCTGTTGAGATTTGAAATCGTGCTGGCAAATGATGGAGAGGTGGGATCATAACTGAAGTTTGAAAACAATATCCTTTTGCAGCTGGGAATTAGGTTTGAAAGTGAAGGAGAATAGAGGTTCCTTTTGGAATTGGAGTTTCTTTTGGAACTAGAGGAGAAAAAGGTAGAATAATGGCTATCACCTGTGAATAAAGTAGCTGTCCAATGAATAAAGGAGATGAAGTTTCTTCAGGTTCCTCTATTTTTCCTGCTCTTGGCGTTTTCTTCTCCAGGGCTATCACTAAAATTTCCCTGAATGCTTAAAGAATTTTGTTTTTATTTCAATCTACAAAATGCAGCTAACAAGAGCCAATTCACAATGCGCTTCCTCAACCTAGAACACCGTTTAACAGCCCTTCTCCTACTTATAAGGGAAATATGCTTCTTTTGTTTTTGATGGGAATTGTCATTTTGTTATGATTATTAAATGTATGAATTCATTTTTATATACTAAATTGTGGTGAGTTATTCTTCTGTAGGCTGTGGGGGGAAAAAAAGACGCCCTAACAGTGGAGTTGATAAACTGAGTTGGGCTCTCACTGAGATTCAAATCTCATTTAGCTGTGCTCTGCAAACAATTTGAATGAGAGCCAAAGATCTCTAAATGGGAAATTGATCTTTGTGTAAGAACAACAGGAGGTTGGAGCTTTGAAATGAGAAGATATATGGAGCTTGCTCAGCCCTTTGGAAGGTGCAGAAAAGATATGGATTGGCTCCCGGAAATGGTGACTAAATGGAAAGTAATACAAAGTGCAAAGAATTGGAAATATAGTGTAGTAAGAAAAGGGTACAATATCTATTTCAGTTACTTGTTAGTCTTGGGATCTGGGTAGAATCAGTAAACATCTTTAAACTTTTGTTTTCTTTTTTGCATAAGGAGGTGGGACGATCTCTAATTCATATTCATCTATGAATGTTATCAGCTAAAAGGATAACTTGGCAGCTAAAAAAAATTATGAACATATAAGAGCTTAAGAACATAAAAGAAGGAAGTGTGCTTCATTCATTTTGGTAACTAGCTGGTAACGAAAGGAACCTGAAACATTATAGGTACTCAATAGATATTTGTTGAATGAATCCATCAGAAACATGGCATAGGTCAGAGAGGAAGTTAAGTCAGAACAGAGCACCAAGACCAAAGAGACTCTCAGACCAGGCATGTAGGAGGCAGGGGAAGGAACTTAGGAAGGCAGATAAGTTTACCCAGGGGTCAGGACCAGGGAAAACTCAGGAGCCAGGGTACATGTAGCATAAAAGTGCAGAGAGCCCAATACCTGTAGAGGAGGAAATTAGCAGGCATGGTTTAGAGAATTAAGATGCACAGTAGTGAAACATACCTTAAACAACATATCAGAACATTAGGATTTACATTTGAGGCACCTAGAAAGCAAAGTGAGGAGTCCCATGAAATCCTCATAGGTAGAATGAGACAAATCAGAGTTTAAATCCAAGCTCCTGTTCACTAGTGGTATAAATATTGGCAAAATTTTTTTTAAAAATTAGTCTCTCTCAGACATCTAGAAAATGAAGATTCTAATTCTAAAAAATGAAACTTATAGTATCTATTTGTAGAATTGTTTTTAAGATTAAATAAGTGAATATGTGAAAAGGACCTAAAACATACCTAACGTGATTTTTTTTAATTGTTATTATCATTAGTATTGTTTTGTTGTTATTGTAGCTTTCATGCACAATAAGGTGTCTATCAGCCAAGTCAAACTTTGTCGTGACTTCAGATCAAGAGCTTGTAATTAGTAAACTGTCTCTCTGTTTTGGGGTTTTCTTCTATGTGTGCTCTTTCCCCTCCTCAGTGCTCTTTTTAAAGATCCCCTCTTACCCCAATTCTAATTTAGTCCTAACAACACCGAGGGAAAAGGACCTTTCCACATTCAGTCCCGGGTGGCTAACTGGGCCAGGATCTCAGATCTCAGAGGAGCAGAACAACTAGAGCAGAACCGGAGGAAGGGCAAGAAGCCACACAGGCATGGTGGAAGACGTCCTTTATAATATAAGGAAGAGATGGACCAGGCCACATTCACATGCACTTAGAGCATCTTCCCACCAATAGCTGATGTTCCCCCTCAAGTGTTTACTTGTTTGTAAAATCTTCATTTGAATGGAGAATAGAACGCTGGCTTCCTAAAGGCTATTACTGTAAGCTACATACTGTTTGTAAGATACATACTTTGAACAGTGAACAAAGTTAGATATAACATCAAGACTTTGCAGTTGAACAGAGCAATGAGAAAATTAATGGGTAAGATTTGTTATGTAAGTTACATTAACATTGATAACTTGCTGGTAGTTACACTAGAGCAGCAGTTCTCAACCTTCCTAATGCCGTGACGCCTTAATACAGTTCCTCATGTTGTGGTGACCCCCAACCATAAAATTATTTTCGTTGCTACTCTATAACTGTAATTTTGCTACTGTTATGAATCATAATGTAAGTATCTTTTTGTTTTCTGATGCTCTTAGGCGACCCCTGTGAAAGGGTCGTTCGACCCCCAAAGGGGTCGCGACCCACAGGTTGAGAACCGCTGCACTAGAGTTAGCAAACAATATGGCTTGCTTTTCACTGCTACATCAAATTTTCAAAGAAATTTAGTCCTGGTGAAATGACTTAGGCTGTTAAGCAAAGGTTTTAGCTAGTTTTGAAAGTTACCTTTATTAACAGAACGTCACTGCCAATGCCAATAGGTGTCCCCAATCTGGAGTGCGTTACAAGGAGAAACTTTATTCAGTTGAAAAAGCCGCAAAACCAGGAAATACAGCCTCCAAGGAACGCAGTTCCCGCCAGAAATGGAAACCACCCTCCCAGAGACAAATGGGAGGCTTATATAGAGATAGTGCCTGCCCTGATCCCTGATTGGTCCACTTCAATGCAAATAAGCCCAAACTTGCATTTGATTGGTCCAAATAGCACTGTCCTGATTGGTTAAAATCGCAGGTCCTGATTGGTCGTTATGGAGCAGCTCTGATTGATCAGGAAAGATGCAGATAGAATACAGGTGAACAGCTAGGATTCAAGAGGTGCCTTTTCCCTGATACTAAGCTTGCAAGGCTCCAATTATGAATTTGGGCCCAGCTAACCGTTAGGAGCCCTTTTTGGCAGAGGGAGTCCTTCTGGGGTCAACGCCTTCATCCCTAACAGTTAGCGCTCTGACACAAACAGGCCTCATTCTGTCACGTGTAGATGAGTCCCCCCCTTTAACTTCCTGACCAAGCTTAGTTGTGGAGATAACCCCGTAAAGCGGGGAGGCCAGCAGGCTATTTGAGGTCAAGGGTGATAAAGCAGAGGGCCAAGGTCACCCAAGAGTAGATGAAGGTGAGGGCGGGCTGGGTTTCATTCACATTTTCGGGCCCAGCGCTCATGCTGAGGAGACTGGTTTTCAGGTGCTTGGGGCACCCTCAGCTCCAGTCCTCCACAGAAAGTGGGAGGAAGCGGTGGCTTAACTCAGAAAGCTGAGCGACAGTATACGGTCTAGGGAACACGCTCGGGTCAAGTCGCGCGACCAAAGGGCGGAAAACGGAGAGCGTGCCGCATACAAGTGTGCAGGGCTTGCGGCTGGTTTGCTTGCTGGCTTAAATGTGCCCTCGGGGGGCTTGGGGGGACGGCCCGAGAACCCAGAATTGCACGGACTGCTTGGGGGACCGGCGATGGGGAGCCCATGAGGCGCTGAGATAGTCTGAACAGGATGATCAGGTGTGAGGGCAACAAGGCCGGACTGGAACAAAGGCGCTGTTGGGCAGCAAGAGGCCATCGTAGCGGTCGGGTTTACCCGGAGCGGCGCCGTGAACGCTTGTAGCCAGGAGACCGAACGGCTGCGACCGCTGGGGACGCACCTCCCAGGCCCCGCCCTTCCTAAGCCACGCCCCTCGCGTCGGCCAATAGGAGCCCGGGATGTTAGCGGGTGGGAGGCGCGGTCGGGTTGCCACAGCCGGAGCTGGGCGGCGGCGGCGGCGGGCGCTGCCGGAGGAGTCTCGCAGATTCCGAGGCGGTGGGGCCAGCGATCGTCAGGCTCCCCGCCTCGGACGGCCTCCCGCGGAGGGCTGCCGCCCGGACCCTGAGGCTGCCCGTCGCACACGCCTGCGAGTCCCTCGCGACCGGATCCCGGTCTTGCTCGACTCCCGAGCGCCCTGTCACAGCCCCTGGCCAGATTGCGGTCCCCCTCCCGACGGGATCCGCCGTTCCCGCCCGCGGCCTCCCCACCCTCGGCGGCCGCTGCGGCCCTAGGGTGTGTCTGCAGCCGCGAGCGTCCCACCCTCTCCTCGGCCAGGTCCCCCACGCAACCGTTTTTTTCCATTTCTGCAGCATCTTCTGTCGGAAGGATGCCAAGAGCGTCTTCCAAGGAAGTGTCACTGACCAGCTTTCGAGCCGGGACAATAGATGAACAGAAGGCTCTAAGGGCTTCTTGACCACCACGGTGGGAGGGACAGCCAGCGCTGATTCCTTATCTTTCGGTTTATCCTCGGGCTGTAACCGTGACTCCAGATTTTGCTTTGTCCCCAAGCCTTCCCCTTTTCTCTGTTTCCTTTATCCATTTTATCCTGTGTAACAGAGCATTCGCCCCAAAACAACAAAGGAACAAATACCCAAGGAGCAGGGTGGGCATCCGCAATTTCAGATCCTTTTTCAAATTGTGGTTAACCCTTTGGTGAAGGAAGACGCCTGCAGAATCCGAAGATCCTATTGTCTCCATTTAGCCCTTTCCCCCACCCCACCCTCCTAATTTACATAGATTGAGGTGGACTTTAGAATAAGCAGAGGCATCCAGCCTGTAAGACAGGACTGCATGCTGGAGAAGGAATTACTTCAGGTTGTGTGGAAGTGAAAAGCAGTAACCTGGTCACTTTTTGCAGTGACCTAAGCGCGCCAAAAAGCAAATGTAGTAAGGAGCATGGTAGCGTTTCATGCTTTTGCCCTGAGGTGAAGTTCTCATGGTAGACGCCTTGAGGATGCTAGAGAATCGAGAATTCCGATAATGTTCTCTTTGTGGGCACTGTATAATGACACTTGTGGGTGTTGTTCTTTGCTTATGTTAGGCAGATCATTCAAATTTCTATGAAATAAGAAATTGTAGTGATAGTACTCTTACTTTCGAGATAGTTTTGCTTAGAGGACGCCTGGAGGCGGCTTTTTTTTTTTAATTTTTAAAACGTGGTGGGATTATAGTATAGTGGGTATGATCATGGTTTTGGGAATTCTCATAAGGTTATCATAATACACACAAAGTGCTTTGGAACAGTTTCTCTGCAGATTTTTATTCAACATTTGTAATTAAGGCAGAGATCTTCATTTGATGTTTCACTTATGTATGCTAAGCACCTAAAACAGTGCCTGACACGAAGTAGGTACTCACTAAATATTTCTTGTTAGATGAATGACTTTATCTATGATGGGCACCATTCTTGGCCCTGGGGATGCAGCAAAAAAGTAAAATAATCAAGGCCCTGCTCTCATTGAGCCTGTTTTAGTGAACTTTATATTTTAGCAGTGCCAAGAGATTACTACTCAAATATTACTAAGAATGCTTTTAAAATATAAAGAAAACCTATTATAATACTCAGTTACATGGGTGGAGAAATACATGAATTCTGATATAATCTGATATGTTCTGACGGACACGTTTTATGGGCCCAGCTTGTGGTGCATCTTATTAAACAGTTACTTGCTCTTTACTCTTGGTTTGATTTTTTTCTTTTCTTTTTTTTAAAGATTTTATTGGGGAATTGAGAGAGGGAAACAGCGCTGGGGAATCGGGGAAGGGGAACAGACAAGTTGCTGTCCTTTTGTTCTTCAGTCTAGTTGTGGAGGACGTCCCTTCACTGGCCCATGTTGGTATTATCATTGCGCTCTTCCCGGGCGAGGCAGTCGCTTGCTGGCCATTGGACGGCCACTCACAAAAGCTCAAGCCAGCTGCCGGCCAGCCCCACTGCAGCCTACGCCGTTGCCAGTCACGGCAGCCCAGCTCCAGGTTGAGCTGTTGTTCACCATCTTAGCTGTAGAGGGCACAGCATCACTGGCCCTCATGTGGGATCTGAACCTGGGCCCTGCTGCTCAGAGCTGGCGTCCCAAGCCAACTCCTAACCAATGCACCACTCGGCCGGCCCTGTTTTTTTCTTTTTTAACAAAATGTGTTACTATCATTATGATATATTTAATTGTAATGAATTAGGTTAAAATTTTCCTTTTTGGAGGGCAAAACAATTGAATATTGGAAATTTCAAGTGGTTTAACTAGTATAAACTAGTTTTTTGTTGACATTAGGACAGTGCCTTTCTTTTCTCTCTTTTAAAATCAGTCCCTATTAGGTCACAGTTTGCAAAGATCAAAACTTTGAGTCTTAAGTTTACCATTGAGTAATTCATCTATGCTTTCATTTAATAAACATTGGTCCAATGATAGATAACTTTTTTACCCTGTTAGAAGTTAAAGTCCAGTACTTTGAAGGTATCTAATAAATATTATATCACAGTATCCAGTAGAAAATCTTTAGGAGTTTGCTTAATATGTCATAGTAATTAAGCAAATATTGCACCACTTGGCATTACACTCATGTTTCTAGTTGAAACTGGTTATCAGGTTAATTTTGATTGTCAAACCAGAAAGTATATGAACCCCTGAAAAATTCTATTGAAGATTATCATACTCTTTCTTATAACTTTATTTACATGTAGATCTTATGTCACTTATATTATTTTTGGCCTTCCTAGACTTTTTGCTTCCTGGATGGTCAAGAAATGAGCTATTAGGCTGAACACTATTTCAAAGCCAAATATAAATGATTGCTGATGAATTTGTGTAATCTGTATCTGAACACATTTGCATTGTGTGGGTAATTAGAGCAAAGCCTTTAATTCCTTGACACCTAAATCTTGTGGCCTATAGGTATATCTAAGGGCAATGGAAGTAGTTGTAAACTCGGGAGAGTTCTAATCTCTCAAGATTTTCATCTATCAAATGGAGAGATGGTAAACCGTAAGCAGATTTCATCCGCACGCGCGCGCGCGCGCGCGCGCGCGCGTGTGTGTGTGTGTGTGTGTGTGTGTACACATAGGAATGTATATATATGTATACACACACACACACACACACATGTCGTATATATATGTAGCATTGACGTTCCTTTTATAACACCCTGATAAGTGGTTATTAACAATTGTGACAGATCATCGGGCTGCCCACTTCCCTTTTGGACTGCTGAAGTTAGTAGGTCTTAGTGCACTGCCCCCTAAAACTCTGATTGCTGTTCTCCAGTGTAGTCCTTGATCTAGTTGAAGCCAACCTGTCCCATTAAGGTTTCTTTTTTGTTTCGTGTTTCCCTAGTCTAAACACATACTAGTTACGGAATAATTGTTCATCTTTATTAAGATATCTAGCGTTCACTGTTTTTTGGTACTGAGTTGGATGCTAGATATTTTAATAACCAATGTGTTGGGAAGGCCTGTGTTTGGATCCTTGCTTTGTTTTTTTTTTTTAGCTCTATGATTTGGGCAGTTAATCTGAATCTCCATTTTCTAAGCCATAAAAAGTGGAACTATTAAATACCAATCTGCCTGAAGTATATTAAGTATTAAATGATTTAACATATATAAAGCATTTAACAAAGTGCCTCGTACGTAGGAGGCCCCCTCACTACTTGTGTGTTGGGTGGATAAACTCACAGGAAGCACGTTAAGAGTGGTTCAATATAGGTAAAACATAGCATTCTTGGAAGGGACTATGGGTAATCTCACTAGACAACTGTGGCAGAAGAATAGACTGCAGAAGGCAGAGGCTGGAAATACCTACATGTGATGAGGATTTGAACTAAGGCAAAGAGCAGAAATTAAAAAGGGAGGATAGCTTTAGAAGACATTTCTGAGATGGAAAGATGAGATATGACTGCTGGATGGCAGAGGCAAAAGGAATCAAAGATAAAGCAGTGCTCTAGCTTGGGCCAAACAGTAATATTAATGTGTTTAACCAAGAGGAAGGCCAAGTTTGGGAGATGAGGTAATGAGTTTGGCTTTGGAAATGTTGTATTTGTACAGTACTTGGGGTCTATCTGGTGGAAAAGTCTCATAGGTACTTGGCAATATCTATGTGGAATTTTTAGTTTAGTAGTCTTCAGCATATAAATGATAGTAAATGGATGCATTCACCCATAGAAGCTATATTTCATAAAATGAGGAAAGAAACTTGGGCAGAACTGATGCTGTAGGGTTGAGCAGGAAAGGAAATTGGTGTGTGTGTTGGGGGCGGTCCTTTAAAAATGCTTAAACATTGTCAAGAAAGGACAGTGAGGGAGAAGCTAGCATTGACTGAGTAGTGAATATATGCCCTCCGAAAGCCTATGCATGACACGTGGTATTCGTGGCGGCCAAAGCACTAACCTGGTCAGACTCTGCCGACCTTGTGAGATCTGAAAAACTTGGGCTCAGGAGACACAAAGATCACTGAAGCCAAGAGAGAAGGTCTTAGAGGTGGAAGGGACTGATCCTCAGCCTGATACTAAGAAAGGTCCGGTAGGATGAGGATTCAGAAGAGAGCTTTGCATGTGACAATTAGTAGATGGATGGCGTTTCTTGACGTATCTCCTAATGGCTCCTTATTAAAGAAGCTCCCCTGATCCTGCCCATGTCTCAAACACGCATACACTCAGCACTGTGACTGTCCTCTCCCCTACTCTGCTTTGTGCTTATCACCACCTGCCATTTTGTGTACTTAATCATTTTTATTTATGTTTTCCCTAATTAGAAGAGTAGAAACTTCATAAGATCAGGAAGGCCTTTGTTTTTTCAGCATGTTTGCCTACCTCATATGACAGTTCCTGTCTCATGCTAGGTGCTCAACAAGTACAGACTTGTTGAATGAACAAATGGATCTATTTTAACGTAGTGGTTAGACCTAATAAAGTGTGCCTGCTGTTTAGACAGGCAGTGAATGAGGCGAAGGGAGCAGCTAGTCAGCAAATATGTCAGTGTTTCCCAAATGTGTTGCTCAGGACATCGGTCCTGAACATCTCTTAGGGGTAGAAGGATTCTGTTGGGGGAAATAACAGCGTACAAGATCTCTTTTTTTATAAGACTGGGCAAGTTCTGTTGTAAGAAAACCCACTTGTTTCATCTAGCGTTTTCCAAACATTTGACCACAGAGCCAGGGATGTGAGGGTGGTTGGTGAAAGTAGTGGAAATAGCTAGTCTGGTTCAGAGTAGGTAGAAAAGGAAGGGCAGCCGGGGACAGGTTATCAAGAAATTGCAAGTCACTCTGAGATCAAGAAAGAGATTTAGAGGAAGGCAGAGTCTGTAGTTAGAGATGGAGCTTGAGTATTTTAAACCAGAGGTGGACCCTTTCTAAGTTGTTTTAACAGTGGTTATTTTTGCTTAACTGGAGTGCAAGTGACTCCAGTGGAGGGTAAAGGTTATGTGTTGAGTAGGTTAAGTGTAAATGTTGAAATCTAGGATGAGCTGAAAACGGAAAATCTTGTGAGATTTTAAAGATTTTGGACCTGGAAGTAATTGATTTTAAAAAAGCATTGTAGGAAGAAAATATAACATGTTGTATGCTTCAAAAGAGAGGCTTGTTGCATTTTAAAAGTTGGATTCAGATGTTGAGGAAATAAACATATACACAGAGGCCAGAACAGTGTTAATTTTAAGATTTGTTTTCTTTTGAAAAAGTTCCCTCCTTTTTTTTTTTAAGATTTCATTGGGGAATTAGGTGAGGGGAATAGTGCCAGGGAATCGGGGAAGGGGAACAGACAAGTTGCTGTCCTTTTGTTCTTCAGTCTAGCTGTGGAGGACGTTGCTTCACTGGCCCTTGTTGGTATTGTGATCATTGCGCTCTTCCTGGGTGAGGCAGTCGTTCACCGGCCATTGGACGGCCACTCATGGCGGCTGCCAGCCACTCACGGTAGCTCACGGCAGCCCACTGCGTCAGGCGCTGCAGTCCACACCATCGCCGGTGACTCACGGCAGCCCAGCTCCAGGTCGAGCTGTTGTTCACCATCTTAGCTGTAGAGGGCCCTGCTGCTCAGAGCTGGCATCCCAAGCCAACTCCTAACCAACGCACCATTCGGCCTGCCCATTCTCTCCATTTTTTTAAAAAATGTGTACATTTAGAATGATGAGATAACAGCATATTATTTCCCATCACCTAAGTAATAGTATTATATAAAGATACCATTTCAAGCCTTATTATCACACAGGTTTTGAAGCAACTCATAACAGAACCAATAATGTGTGCAGGATAAATTTTGTAAGGAGAGATGGGCTTCTTGACAGTTTTGAATATTAAAATACTTTATATACTTGGTTCTGTCCATCAGTTTGAGTGCTTCTTTCCACACTGTTTGCTCTCTGCTCTAATAAATCAGCCCCCTGAATATCATCTCTCTACTGTATTTTTATAAGCCACACAATTCACTAGCTTCTACTACTCAGGAGAGATGAGTGGAGTTGGCCCTACAGAGTAGTAGGTTTTTTTTTTTTTTTAGTTCATTGGTTATGAAGCAGTTTTACATGTAACATCTCAATTGATCCTTTTAATTTTAAGGTAGATTGAGCAGATATTATATCCTCATTTGACAGATGTTAAACTGAGGCTGTGTATATGGTTAGTCATATGTTTTCTAGTTCATGTAGCAAAGACTTTTCCAACAAGGAGAGAGTTATATTCTTTTCTCTAGATCCTTGCAGATTCTCAGTTTTGTATTTAGACTAGAAGTAATGTCCTCAACATACAATTCATTCATTCCATCATCTGCAATTGGTCAGTTGGTTTAATCATTCTTACATATGACCAGTTTTTTTTGTTGTTGTTGTTTTTAATGTAAGACCAGTGAGGGAGATATCTTATCGCCCATGTACTTTTTTTGCTAATGTGGTCTTATGTAGATTTTATTAAATATGGTATATTTATCATGGTAGATTAGAGATAGTAAGGGGCCATGTAGGTCTTTTAACCTAACTTCCTTATTTTATCCAAGAGGAGTCAAACCTTAAAAAGGTTAAATACCTTCTCCAGGGATTCATAGTTCTAAGTGACAGAGCTGGGACTTGAATTTAGATAATCTGAGACAAATTCCATTGCCTTTTCTACACTGTCATATCTTTTAATGAATACCATTAGAACAAAATGTGACTTTTTGACTCTAAAGCCTAAGCTGCTTATCATGGCCTGTTGGTAGTTCTTTCCAGGGGGTAGCGACACCAACACACGTGTATATGCGATATTTTGTTAATTATAACGCTATGCCCTAAGACTAGCTGATAGAAAATTACAAAAGTATATATGTTTATTTTACTTATTTTGAATGAATGAATTTTTTTCTCTTTTGAGATAATTGTTTTGAAGTGCTTTTTCTTTAATGCTAGTACCTCCTTTTTATGTCTTTTAGTGATGATTTTCTCTTCCTTTAAAGGCAATTTGAACAAGTTTGATAATTGATAGGAATTAATCCCAGGAGTTGGATGTTATTATTCTATATTAGTTTTCTAGCTGCTATGATGTTAAGTTTTAAGTTTTCGAATTTAAAAAAAAATAGGAGATGATTTGATTCTTTGATATCTAAAGGCATAGTAAATCATGTAGAGCGTTAGCTTCTTAAGAGCAATGATTGCGTTACTGCACCCTTGGTCATAATTATATGATACATGTTTGGCAAGTAGTAGGTGCTCAAGTGGGCACTCGCATTACTTCCATGTGTTCAGTTGATTTTTCTCAATAGTTAATTTTTATAAGATTTTACTTTGTCATCTGTTTAACAAGGCGATACTGAAATGTACTTTTAAGTAAGAAAAATATGTGATACTTTTGAACATTTTGGGTTAATGAATTTTTCAATTATTGTGTAGAATTTAAAGGAATACATGAAAATGATAAATAAGCAAGCTTAATCGTTTATGCAGCATGTGGTATCACTTTTCCCATCATTGTGAAAACATTTTTATCTTAATGTACCTAATGGATTTCATCCAGCAACTGCCTCGAGTTTCATGATAGTGGAATGAAGTGATCCAGATAAATGAAGTTGCTTTTCCTAAATGACCTAGCCGCTGGGATAGGAGGACAAATCAGGCAAATCTTAGCTTTGCTATTGTAGTGTCCACTGCTTAACTGCCACCATAAACATTGCCTCCATTTGAGATGACAAATAGTCACTATCTACCTCTAAAATAGGGCAGTGGAGGATTAGAGAATGAGAGAACAAAACACTTCTGTTACTGCTTGATTATATTCCCACCAATGTCTATTTTGATTCTTCTGATTAGTTTTCTAAGTATCGTTTTTATAAAGTTACAGGTATGGAAATAAATTTACGGTTGATATTTGGCTACATAATGAAATGACAAATTGACTCAGTTATGCGGAATCCTAAAGAATGTACTTTTTTTTTTATCATTCTCATAACAAAATTTATTGCATTCAAGTACATGTTAGCTGTATTAATTGTTGATTTAGAAGTTGCAACTAGTTCTTCCTTATTTAATGAATTGTGCCCATAAGGTCATAATATATCAATTTGCTGGTCCAGTCAATCTTAATATAATATGTATAACATAATGAACAATTTCATAATACAGGCAGTTTGTGTAGTAATTGGGTGATCTTTTCCTTTCAGCATTATATACTTTCTAGTGTCTGGTGTTAAACAAAACAGGATTCTTTCTATCCTAGATCATGTCAGGAAGCTACTTCACACTGATCACCAGTGTTATTTCTTAATGCTTTGAAGATTTACAATATATGATATTAACCTTAAGATAAATTTGGTTTTTAAAGGTTAGTAATTTCCCGTAAAGATAGCCTATTAATTAAGATAATATGGTAAATTGATTTGGTTAAAGTAAAAGTAAAACAGATATTTCCAAAGTACCAGTTTGGTTACCCTTAAATCATGGCTTCTGTATTTGGCATGTTTTTTTTGACCACTTAAAACTCTTAAGTCTTGTGCCCATTTTTATTGATAATGTTTATTTCAAAATAAAATGGCATTTCACAAGAACTGACATTTTACATATGAAACTAAGAGAAGACATTAAAACTTGGAAGGGACACAATTTGAGCTATAGAATTTACTGACTAAATTATTTTCTGTTTTAGAAAATGGAAGTGTCCAAGTTGGAGAGTTATTACCTTGCAAGATTTGTGGAAGAACATTTTTTCCAATGGCATTAGTGAGTACCTTTTCCTTTGGAGTTTGATAGATCAGTAATTATTTAATACTTCTGAACAGCTCTCATGGAAAGAACCTCTGGAATAATTTCAACAGATACTGGCTAGTGTTCAAGAATATCGGTTCCTCTACATCATTCTTCCAGAGTGATCTTTCCTTAAGAGTTTGATTGGTCTTCAGAACTTCTCTATTAAAGTGTTAAAGTGTTCCTCTGTTTGTGGAAATATTAACAAAAACAAAAAAGAACGTAAAACTGTTAGAAATGCATAATGATGTATTTTTGGCTGGCGACCGATCTGCCTCAGCCAGGAAAAGCGCAATGATAATACCAACATGGGCCAGTGAAGCGACGTCCTCCACAACTAGACTGAAGAACAAAAGGACAGCAACTTGTCTGTTCCCCTTCCCCGATTCTCCAATGCTGTTCCCTTTCCCAACTCCCCAATATAATGTTTAAAAAAAATAAATTAATTAAAAAAAAGTGCACCTAAAATATATTACGCATTCTTTAGATACTTTTAGATACTTGGTACATACAAATAAAAGCACTTTTAACTGATTTTAACATAAACTATCCAGCTTTGTAGACATAAGAAAAAAAATGCCAGTGTACCTGAAATATTGTTTTACCTTCAAATATGAATAAAGATTTACTAATATTTTGATGTAGAATAAAGACTTTTCTTTGAAGATGGATTTGCTATTAGAATTCTGCCACATTTCATTTTGCATCCTCTTGATATTTCTAGTTCGTTTCTTCAAATCAAAGTGAGGAATTGATGATCCATGAATGTCTGTCTGACTACAGGCTTCTCTTAAATAATGACAACTTTTCTTAATTATTTAAAGATGGCTTGCCCACACTTAATTTAGTGATATTCTTTTTCTTTTTTTTTTGGTTATCAATTCACTATTTTTCAAACCATTTTCAAAGGATTCAGCTGAATTTTCACTGAAAAAAAGGTCCTTTTTTTTGCCCTCATTTAATCAATATTTAATTAAATGATGTATCACAGTAACAGCTACAATTTTGGGTACAAGCACTGCATACTTTTGACATATACAACTCAGTATGAGAAGATATGTCTACTAGAAAGTCACCGGCTAGCCACACTTTTGTTTTTTTAATATTTATAAGATTTTATTCTAATAGCTATCATCATAGTGCTTGTTTGTTGTAATGAAAACTGAAAACAGATATGTAAAGCAATTGATTACTAATTGTGTATTGAAAATAGGAGTGGTTTCCAGACAACAAACCAACCATTCAGAGGTTTCCTCCTTTCCCAGATAAAGTTTAACAGTTCCAGTTTGTTCACTCAGTTCTTATCAAAATGCAAAAGAAAAAAAAAGTGCATTTACTGTACTGATGTCATCAGTCAACATGTTTGATTTATCAGAGGGAGAATGATTATTTATCGATAGGTTAACTGGCAGTCAGTTAAAAGAGCTTCTGTTGTAATGTCCTTGAAATGAATACATGAATAATTGAATGTAGGAGTTGGCAGCCATGTTAAGAAAGCAAATCCTATAGGAGTGGAACACTAGATAGCTCAAGAAAAATCCTTGGTAAAGAAAGGTGGAAAACCTGAGCTTCAGAAAGAAGGAAAGGGATGATTGTGAAGGAAGGATGCAAATCAGACCCTTTCATCCTGTTATTTTGTTAACTTTATGTTACCATACTCCTATTATGTTCACTTTAGTAATCCAAACTACTACTATTATGTTAACTTTTGTAATCCTAACTCTAATGTATTCTGCATTTACATTCTTTTTTTAGTATCTACTTTCAGGTATTTAGTAATGAAAATAACTTTTTTTCCCCACTCAGATAGCTTTGACTTGGTTACATTATTATCCTTATTCTTAGAAGTGTGAAAGCTTAGAGAATGTTAAAGAACTCTGTAAAATGGAAATCTTATTTATATATGTATTATTTATTTATTTCATCTTCAGGTATTTAACCTGGTCTTAATGACAATTTAAAGTTTTATAGTCTTCCCTTCTGTAGAAAAGAAAATGATACATTGCTTTTCTTCATCTTAACAGAAAAAACATGGACCCATCTGCCAGAAAACTGCCACGAAAAAACGGAAGACTTTTGATTCAAGCAGACAAAGAGCTGAAGGAACTGATATTCCAACAGTAAAACCTCTTAAACCTAGGGTAATTATATAACATTTTGAACAGTATGAATCTTGCTGCTATGTATATTGAAAAAATTGTGCTATTATACTAAGATTGATGAATAACCAGAATTTTGTGTCTGTTTAGAAAGATCAGAAACTTATTTAACTTTTGCAAAGGGAAGACCAAACTACTGTCTCAAACTCCAACTATTACAGTGAAATTTTTATAACATTGGAGAACCCCTTGCTTAGCCAAGGATGGAAATAATTAAAAGTCCTCACGTGTTCTTTTTAAGTCTTTGTAAATTATCTCAGATATCATTTAAGTATAACTTCAAGTTTATCTTACCAGTAGTGTGAATCCCTATATATACAGGTAAAGCTATTATTTATAGATACCTTAGCATAATAGATATTGATTATTTTGATTGATTGTCAGTATTAATGATCTTATGTTTTCTGGGGAAAAGTTTATCAGTTGTGCATTTGTCCACATATAGTCAATGTCAACTTATTTTCTGTCTTGTAGCTAAAGCAGTGAATCTCCTATGACAATATCTCCTTAATAGCACTATGATATAATATATTGCTAAGAATAAATCCCGTAAATACTTTGTAAGACAAAGTTTTGAAGAGTTATTTCAGTGAAATAGTCAAATTTGAGTACTTGATTGAATAGATTTTTGAAACAAAACCCTGCTTTCAGTGGTAATAACTTCTGCCAGTGGTACAGGAAAACATTTCCCTATAGATCAGTTAATCTTACTAATAAAATCATTTAGTAATAGAAAAATCAAGTGTTCATCTTTGTATTTCTGCCTATTTAAAGGAAGAATGGTGAAGTTTGGTATATAAACCAGGGGTGAGCTGCAGGAACCTGGAGAGCAGGGACCAGGATGAGCTGGCTGGGATGGACAGAAGCCAGGAGAGCGGAAGTGGGGAGGAGAGGCACAGAGGGCCCAAGAGGCCTGGCCAGCGGCAGAGGCTCTCAGAAAGAAAAAAAATAATAAGAATTAAAACCCTTTCTGAAGGTGAGGGGCCCACTCTCAAGGGTTATGTCTTTTTTGAAGAGATTAGTGTGGGGACTGCGGGGAGTATGGCTGGCAGCGGTCGTCCTCTTGGACCCACATTGTTTTAGAGAAGCAGAACAGGTATGTCTTATTACACAGAGAGACCTTGTTTGCATCTGTATCTGATGCAACAGAGAAGAGAGCTATTGGTTTGTCTAGCCTAGAAGGCTATGTTAAGCCTCTCCCTCTCCCGAAAACCTCTTGTAAGTAGCTGTACCAGGAAAGCCTAACTCATTCAATGACAAGTAATAAAACAACATTAGATCAGCATTGATACAGAGATACGATGAGGGGAAAAGGTAGAAGAGAACAGCGAAACTGACCAGTAGATGAGTCATACTCATTATAGAGCACATAAATGTTGTGATCAGACATTTCACTGTAAAATAAAAAACTCGAAATAATCAACCATCTCAAACATGTAAATGTGCTTATATTTAGTAAAGGTTTTTTGTGTCTATATTCATGAGAGAGGCGGATCTATCATATACTTTTTATGAACGTTTTGTTGCTCTCATAAGACTAGTTGGAAAGCTGTTCTCTTATTTATTTTTCTTTAAAAGAGTTTAAAAGATTGATGCTATTTCTTCCTTATATGTCTGTAAGAACGCAACAGAAAAGGCATCTGGTCTAGGAGGTTTTTTTGTGTGTTTTTTAATAGATTCATTTTTTAAAAATATGTAATACTGATTTTCTGTTTCTTGTATCTTGTGTTTCTCAAGGATATTCATTTCATCTTAATTGTCAAATTTATTAGCATAAAGTTTCTTTATAATATTTTTTGTCTCATGTTTGTAAGAACTGATCATGTACTATTTTCCATTCTTGGTAATCTGTATCTTTTTTTTTTATTAGTCTTGCCTTATTAGTATTTGTAAAGAACCATCTTTTGACTGTTGATTCAACATATAGTCGTGATTTAAAAATAAAGACATAATAGGAATAATTGGATATTTCAATAATTTGATAAAATAAATCTGTTGTAGCAGATAAGCCAGCATCATGTTTAGTGGAAAGACACTTAGAGGTAGTTCCGTTTAAGTCAGAAACAAGATTGAACTCCAACCAATTCATTAAGTGCTTGCCAGAAGTTAGGTAATAACAAGAAATTAGTTTCATGGGGATTGGAAAAGAGAGAAAACTGCTTTGTTCAGAGATGAAAACCCAAGAGAATCAACTGGGACATTACTACAGTTAATACAGAAATTACTAGATTTCATTTCAACAAATAACAGTGACATATAAATGAACAAAAGACCTTACATAAGAGCAACACCAAATATAAAATATTTAGGAATAAACCTTATAATAATAAAGGTATAAGACTTCCACAAGTATTTTTAAAAACTACTGGAAGACAAATGAACACTTCTTCAAATGGAAATATATTTCATATACTTGGATAGGTAGACTTAGCATAATAAAGTTTTTAATTTCCTTAAGTTGTTTATGAATATAGTGTTTAATATTTCCAGTTAAAATATAGTCTTTAAAAAAAAATTAGACCAGCTGATTCTAAAGTTCATATGGTAAGTTATCAGAATAATCACAAAAATTGTAAAAGAAGCAGAATAAAGTAGATTTACCCTACCAGATATTAAAATATTGTTATAAAGTCTCAACATTTAAAATACTGGTATTGACACAAGGATAGTCACAATAATGGAACAAAGTAAAAAGTTCAGAAATCAATCCAAATACAGAAGAAAACCGATAACTGTGTTACCCCATTTTAGGGGGAGTCAGTAAGGGATGGTGAGACAGCTGCAGAGCCCTGTTAACAAACCAAACATCAAGTGGGATCCATGTGTCACACCGTATATCAGCGTCAATTCGAAATGAACAAGAGATTTAAAATTTTTGAAATGAGGCTACTAAAGTTCTGGGTGGAAACGTGGAAGATTTTCATTTTCCTTTGGTGTGACCTTGGGCCTTCCTGACCTTCGACTGCAAATCCAGAGACTATAGAGATTTGTACAGTAAACCATATTTAAGAAATAATTCTTCGCATCAGAAGATCCTTAGACAAGGTCAAAAGACAGACATAATTGTTGGGGAGGGTTAGGGCTAATTTCCTCTAAAAAGTTACAGGAAATTGTTTTTTAAAAAAAAGCCAAGTAACCCAACAGGTAAGTTGACTGGCAGTTCACAGAGAAGGCAAGACAAGTGATTCTTAATGATATGAAAAGACGCTCAAGCTCATTCATTATAAGAGAAAAGCCACTTAAAACCATAGAGAACTCTTTTTCACCTCTCTAATCAGCTGAAAATATACTCCCTTGGAGAAACTATGGAAAAACTGGGAAATACACTTTTAGTGGGAGCTTAAATGGATATAACACCTACAGAAGTTAATTTAGCAGTGTCTATCACAATTACAATTGCATTTTAAAAATTGCATATACTATATAGTTGTACAAAGTGTTGTTTTGTAATTGTGAATTGAAAGGAGACCATTTAAGTACTCCTGATAAGAGCACATTTAAAGTAATATGGCATTTCCTCAAGTTTTATTTCAATTTACTTAAAAAAGAAAGTTCTGGAACTTTTTCTTTCGTTATAGCCTGAACCACCTAAGAAGCCATCTAACTGGAGAAGAAAACATGAAGAATTCCTTGCTACCATAAGAGCTGCCAAAGGCGTTGATCAGGCGCTTAAGGAGGGGGGCAAGCTTCCTCCTCCCCCTCCCCCCTCCTACGACCCTGGTATGTGGGGTGCTGTGGACGGAACGTTTCTGTAGGGAGGAAACACTGATAGAATTTGTATAAACGTCCGTTGCTACTGAACTTCATTCAGTGTTGAACACAGAAATGCATCTTTTTATTGCCAATACTTTTATTTAAACATAAAGTATTATAATATTTTAGAAATTATTGTAGTAACTCTTAAATGTTAATATTCCAGGAAATATTTTAATAATGCTCACTATGGATTGAAATGTAGTCTTTTAGTAAGATTCCGACAGTTTTGTTGCCTAGTTCTTTGGAAACTTCTCCCTCTGGGAAAGAAAAAAAATCATAACATTGATATCTAAAATTTGGAAATCGATGAAGATTTAGCAATCTTCTAAAATTTACAGTTCATGTGGGGAAACTACCAGATAGATTGATATACCTAAATTATACCCTAAACTTATGTATTATTATGTTTTCTTCTTGGGTAGGTAGAAGCTGCTTATTAATGTTAACAAAAGCAAAGCAGGATGCTGGCAACACAATTTGAGATACTAAGATACTGAAAGATTTAAAACACCACAGTTGACACTTTGACATTGGTTATTAGACTAGCCCGGGGTTCGGCAAACTGCGGCTCGTGAGCCACATGCAGCTCTTTAGGGACGTACATGTGGCCCTGAAGTTAAATTGAAAATGAAAATAAAACAATCATAGTTGCATTTATGAAGTTTTTAAAGGATATAATTCACATAATGGTGATTTCATGTGTTTTATGGCTCTCGAATAATTTTTAAATTGTTGTGAGGGACAGCATTGGCTCTTCCATCTCAAAAGTTTGCTGACCTCTAGACTAGCCTAAAGAGGTAGTTATTGTAATATAACAAATTAGCTGCATTAAAATTGTGTTAGTATTCTAGATTAGGATTTATTTCTTAGTAAAGAGAAATTTATTTAGAAAATCTAGGTATGATTTTCTAGGTACATTTTATTGTAGAGGAGAAATTGGCAAACTATTTCAATAAAGGACAGTAAATATCTTAAGCCACAGGGTTTCCCATTTTTAGAACTACTCAACTCTGTAACTATTGCAAGAAATCAGCTACAGACATTATGTAAATGAATGTGGGTGTGGCTATGTTCCAATAAAACTTTATTTATACAAACAGGCAGCAGGCAGTCCGGATTTGGCCTGGAGGCCCTAGTTTGCCAACCCTGTTCTAGAGTAATTAATTTTAATGTTATGAGTGTTTGGGGGCTGTCCTAACTGGGTTTGGGTCTCTTCTAATTCTCCCTTAATTTTCCCCATGAAGTTTAATTTTCTCTGTTTTGGAGGTATTTGTGTTACATCTTATTCAACATTACTATATTTCTCAAGTTTACATAAGTCAGAAAGCAAGGGTGCCAGTTCTTCAGGATAATTGGGGCTTTAGAAATTCTTTAATCTCTTAGTCCTAACAAAACAATTTCTTTGCTATTAGAAACTTTAGACTTACTGCACTAGTTAACAAGACAAATTTCTAAGCTTCAGATGAGTATAAATTCTAAATTGCAAACTCCATATCAAAAAGTAAACCTGTTGAAATAAATTGTAAAAGCTCTCAACTGAGACGCTGAGAAGACATGAATATAAAATTTATCAGTGTCAAAAAAAAACCTGGAGATTTAATTTTAAAAGAAATTTTATTTATAATATAAATTGCATCTTAGAATATTTTATCGTGGAAGCATTTGTTCTTTCTTAAATTTGAAGTAATTATTTTAATAAGGTATATTGTTATTGCTTTTTCCATCTGTTGAGACCTTTTTAGAGGTCTCAAAAATGGAAATAAAACTGTATAAAGTTGATTAAACTATTTCTTGACAGTTTTCCTCTAATTAAAATAGAAGATTTTAGCAGATGATCCCAATTTTTAAAATATATATTTAATGCAATGTGTTATTACTGCTTAGCTAGTCTACCATACAAAAAATATGTATATATGATGAAAACATATGGCATTATAGAGGCAAAAAAGAAATAACATTTTTCCTCTCTTACTCATTTTTAACACTGAGGATTTATCTTTTGTTTTTGTTTTTTTTTTTTCCCTCTCAAATTTGATTCTACTTGGGGAGAAAATTGGAATTTATCATATATTAGCAGACTTTTTCTTATATGTCTTTACCAAATTTAGATAAGGTAGGTTGGGTGGTTATAAGGCAATGAGAGTTTTTGCTTATCAAATGTTATTACTTACACATACATCTTGAATTAACATTCATAAAAACTTATAATTCTTTATGTCCCATTTCAAGTATTAGGTTATTAATTTGTTTCTTCTTTCTATTTTAGATTATATTCAGTGTCCATATTGCCAGAGGAGATTTAATGAAAATGCAGCTGATAGACATATAAATTTCTGTAAAGAACAGGCAGCACGTATTAGTAACAAAGGCAAATTTTCTACTGATACCAAAGGAAAAGTGACTTCTCGTACACAGGTGAAATGCTCAATTTAATAATTTCTACAAACAAATGAAAAAATGACGTTTTCAAGTTCGCTGTTTTGTGTTTATACTTTACAGAACATTTAAGTACAGTTTTCTCACCTGTGAAAATTTATGTTACTGTTCAGAGATTTAGTAAGCAATTTGAATGGCTAATTGAAAACAAATAATTAAAATAATTAATTTGAAATAGACTTGAGTTAGTAGAGACTTGAAATTACACAAATTTTAGAGGTATTAGGAAGTAAGAAAATAAGTTAAAAATAGGTTAAGCAGAGTCAGAATAAATCAGAAGTGTTAGAAAAGTGAGAAAATGAAATGTTTCCATGTTATATATAACTCATATACATGAGGGAATGCAAATATAGGGTGAAAGCCACACTGCTGCTTTTGAACTTTTAGGCAAATAACATTTCATGAAATAACATTTCATGTCAGCCTTTATTTCATCTGTGAAGGGGTAATCTACATGATTATTGTAAGAAGCAAATGAAATAATGTATGTGAAAGTACTTAGCAAACCATAAATCATATATGTGAAATTTTTACAGTGCTATTATTTTTCTTCAAGCGTATTATTATACACAAACATTGATAATGTCATAATTCCAAGCAAATTTTTTACACAGCCTTCATTTGTAAACAATTTTTTTAGTACTATAAATCTAGCATGCAGAAAATATATCCATTTCTCTTGTTACTTAAGAATTAAATATTAAAAGACCCCATTACAATTGGGGCCTCCTTGAGAGAATCCTCTTATTGAATTTTTGTTAATATTATTGGAAATGGAGTACATCATTATTATTATCATTGTGGGAAAAGAACAGTGACTCTTTTTGAATAATTTCCAAAACAGGTGTCAAACAACACATGTTTTTTACATAAGCAGTTACAGACACTAATACGATTTTTTTGTTTTGTTTCAAGAATAAAGTAGTCAATAGACAAAGGAAATACAATAGAATGTGTATACTCCAACAACTTGGTGCCAAATGACTGGTAAATGTAAAATCCAGGTAGTTGATAGTTCTCACCTTAATTTATATCAGTCTGATTCCACGCACCGTCATATATATTCATTTTAATGTAACCTCGTATTTTCTCATCTCTGTTCATTCACAAAATTTTTATTGAGTACCTTCTTTAAATGAGACACTTTACCAAGTACTGGGTCTATACTAGTAAACTAAATAGAATACTTTTCCTATATGCTGAAATGCATCCTTGTTATATTTAGCAACTTTAATCTGGCCTGATTACAGGCTACTTTTTGACCCTGCACTAATCAAAATAACGACACAAATACGATGAAGATCTATTTCCTACAGGTAAAAACCAGTTTTACCATTTAGTTAAACTTTTGTTATTATTATTCATTAGGAATTTTATCAAATTTAGGCCTGGTTATATTCAAGACCCAGGAAGAAATAGCAAATCAAAAATGTCATTTAATAGATACTAAATTAAAACATCTTATTATTCTGAAAGAGCAGATTATATTGAAATAGCCCATTTGTAACTTGGGTCCTGAAGCACTCTTTCATCACATTTGGCTAGGTTGAGTTACCTTATGAGCTTAAAGCAGTGTGATATATAGTTGACTACTGAGGCATTTTCAGTATTCTGGTGGATTATAACAATCAGACTTTATTCTAAAGTAATGAGGTTTTAAGTTTGGAAAGATGTTCAGTTTTTAATAAACTTATTTCTGATTATTAAAGGCATTCTGTTCTTTAGGAAATTGTTGAAACATATTTTTTTAAAAAGTTACCACAATAGTTAACATTTTAAATATTTACTCCAGGCTCTTACTGTATACAACACTTTTATTCTGATTGTTTTCCTCATCATTTTACCCAATTATTTTATTGTAAATTATGCACATAGAAAAGAATGCACAAACGTACATACATGCATAACCACAAGGTTAAACAGAACGTTCTCAGTCTTACAAAAGACTGCATGTTTCACTCCCAGAATATGATGTTCTCTCTCCCTCCTAGCCCCACACATGTAGTCACTATTCCAATTTTGCACATAATTAGTGTTTGCGTTTTTATATAGTCCCCAGACCACAATTACCCTTTTATTTACTGTATGGAGCTTTATAATCTTGATATCTGGTAGAACTAGCTCTCCTACCTTCTGTTTATTTTTAAGATTGTTTTAGCTAATCTTGGTCCTCTGTGTTTCTATGTAAATTTTGAAATCAGTTTTTCAACACACACACACCTACCTCTGTTAGATTTTTGTGTGGGATTGCACAGACTCAGTTGGTATTGAGCTGACATCTTTACTGTATTAGGTTTTGCAGTGTGTGAACACAGTATGTCTCCCATTTATTTGGCTCTTCTTTAATGTTTTTTGGTAAGTTCTATAATTTTCTGAGAAATTCTTCACATCTTTTATTAGATTTATTCTTACGTACTTGATGTTTTCATATTATAAATGCCAACTTATTTTATTTTAAAAGTGTTATTAACTTATAGAAACAGTTGATCTTTATTGATTTTTGTGTCCAGCTAAATTAGCCTAATTCTTTTATTCTAATAATTCATCTGAAGATATTTCTAATGTACATTTTTATTGATGACCAGCTTGATGGCTTTGCAATCAGGGCCAATGACTTTAGCCTTTTCAAATGTGCTGAATTCTGTATGGCTTAGCTTATATTATAGTCCATTTTTAAAATGCTTCTTATCATTGATATTTTCCCCTTTACCAATGTATAATTTTTTAATAAAAATCCCAAGGATATGTTACTATTCTTGGGATTTTTTTTCTTAGAAATTATGATACACATACTTAGCTTATCCAAGTTTAATCTGTAACTTGAAGCTCATACCAGACAAGGTATGACTCTTAACCCTCCTCCTGACATGCATACTGACATGTTGTGTATTTTCATTTCATCCTTTTAAAACACATTTCTTTAGTTTCCAAGTTTCTTAATTTTTTTTTTCATAGTTAGTTACTTCTCTCTGCACTTCTTTCTGGATTATATTTCAGATATATAACTCCTGTTCACTAATTCTCTCTTCAGCTATTTCAAATATACTTCTAAATTTGTACTTTGGGTTTTAAATCATCTTTTTGAGGTATAACTTAGGTATAACAAATTGCATCTATTTAAAGTATATACAATTTGAAGAGGTTTGATAGATCCATGTTCCTAGAAAACCATTGCCACAGTCAAGATAATGAATAAATCCTCACTCTCAAAAGTTTTTTATGCCATTTTATAGTCCACCTTTCCCTTTACCCATGCCCCAGGAAACCACTGATCTGCTTTTCATCACTATAAGTTAGTTTTCTTTTTCTTGAGTTTCATATAAATGGACTCATACATATATACTGTTATGTGTCTGTCTTCTTTAACTTAGAAAAATAATTTTGAATTTCATCCATGTTGCGTGTCAGCAGTTCATCCTTTTAAATTGCTGAGTAGATTATTTCATTGTATTGTAAGCACATTTTGTTTATTTATTCGCCTATTGATGGACATATGGCTTGTTTCCAGTCCTAGGCTATTATGAATAAAGCTGCTAGTAATGTTTATGTACAAGCCTGTATGGACATACGTTTTCATTTATCTCAAATAAGTACCTAAAGGCAAATGGCTGGGTGAGACAGTGGTTGTACATTTAAATTTTGTAAGAAATAACCAAACAATTTTCACAATGAATGTACCATTTTACATTACCACCAGCATTATCTGAGAGTGCAATTGTTGCTCATTTTCATCAGCACTCAGTATTATGAGTCCTGAGCATTTTCAGTGTTTAGTTGAAGGGTTGGTCCAAATAGCGCCTTCTACCATTGTATCAGAAACCAATGTCCTCTACGTTCTTGAGGCTTTTTGCAATTTCAATAAAATGTCTTTGTAAATATAAACTCTAAGGAAATTTATTAGATTTGTGATCTGTATAAAAGCACATGAAATAATAAGCACCTAACAAGTATTTAATGAATGAAATATATATTGACTATAACTATATAAAAGTAATTTTGTTCTTTTGAGCACTAAAATGAATTTATACAAAATTTTCGACAGCTGGAGTCATCCTGAAAACTTTTATAATGGTAGAATTTCAGCTAGATGTTGTAGAATAGATAAAGTACAGCTCAGTAAGGAAGGAGTCAGATTATCTAGGTCAGGGGAACAGCACGTTACTGAGAGGCAGGTGAATATGCTTTACACAAGAGGCATTCAGAGTCGCATGTGGATCCAGTGAGGAAACCAACCCGACTCGTTCTGGGTGAAAGTCATAGGAAATATTATAGGCGATAGATAAGGTGGGCTAGGTTCTCTTCTGGAGAGCTCCGAAAACCTGACAATAAAAGTGAGTAAAACGCTAGGAGACTTAACATAGAGTGGGGAAAAACAAAGCACCCTTTGAAAGGCATATTCAGCCTTTTTCTATTTGTAAGCCACTTGCTTACTACTAAATTCTAATATGTACATAAAAATCTTGAGTCCCTGGTATGTAAGGCTGCCTGAGTCCAGCCTCGGGGCTTGGCCGCTCCGTGTGAGATACGCTGCACAGGCACCCTTTGTTTATGCTGGTCGTTTTGCTGTTTTGGTAATTAGCACAAATGAGCAGGTCTTCAATTTTAGTCCGGTTTTATGGACCATATTTTTAGTAGACATGTCTGACATTTGGACAAATCATTGTTAGTTTTAAAATCTTTCCTAATGTCTCCATTGATATTTTAGTGGGAGAGACTGATACTAACAGACGCCCTTTGAAGCCAGTAACAGCTCTTAGGTTTTCCAAGAAACTGTCTTTGTATGGCTCATCTCCAAAGTCTTCTAGTCATTTGTTCATCTGACAGATAGTTACTGAAGGTTTTCTATTTCCCAGGTGCTTAACAAATTCCAGTTTCTGGCATAATAGTTCCAAATGTGCATGGTGTGTGTGTGTGTGTGTGTGTGTGTGTGTGTGTGTGTGTGTGTCCCTTTTGTCAAGATTTTTAAGGTCACATAACTGAATTTCAAATGTAATGTTTGATTAATTTTATTCTGATTATTGGTATAAAGTATGATTTGATTTATGAAAATTAGGTTAAAACCAGTTTTCCCATGAAGTACTGAGCAGTCGAAATAGTGCATGAGGCTAAGTTTCAAGGGCACATGAAAGCACAATAATGACCTTACAGTTGAAGCACTGGGCTAGACCTGACGTGGCATGAGTCTTACTTAATTCCTGTTCTGTTCTTGAGTTGGGGTGTAATTCTGAGCATGTTTCTTTCTTTATATTGGAGCAGGTGATTAATGAGATATATTTTTGTATTCAGTACTGAGCAAAATTTTGCTTCGAAGTGACAGTAAAAGAAAATGAGTAATGCTATCCCTCTAGAGAGTGGAGAAAAAATAAAAATAAACAAGATAAGCTGAAATACCCTATCTTTTCTCAACCCATATCCCATTCATCTGACATGATGTGGTGGGATAGGGATGCCAGAATTAGCTCTTTCTCTTCACATTGGGGAAATCTAAATAGCAGCTATTGTAAAACTTGTCCAGACTGATACGTAATGTTACACATTTTTATCAGGAACTATGGCTGGATTACGTATATGAAATATAAAATCACAACCAGAAACATGTAAAAGTCTTGACCCTTAAAACTGCACCACTGAGAGCATCACACATGTTTCTAAGTTTTTTCTGTTAATATTTGCTTGGAGTTTAAACATGTACCATTGAGGAAATATTTTTGACTAAACGGTGTTTTTCCCCCCCCATATGAACTGGCAACAGTTGCTCTTATTTTATTTTAGCAGTGAGACATCTGAGCCTCACTTTCCGTCACCAGTTTTGAGAGGGAACATGTTTTGGCAAACCTCTCTCTGGGGTGACATATTTTAACCTACTCTTTCTCAGTGTGGGTCGCTCAGTGGCTAGTAAAAAGAACGCTCATTTAAGGGAATGTGAGCTTTTGAAATACTAGTTTACAATCCATGACCAAATATGTTGATAAAATATTTTATTTTTCTTACTTTAGTATAAGCCGCCGCCTGCACTTAAAAAGTCCAATTCTCCTGGATCTACACCAGGATCTTCACGATTACCGCAGCCGAGTGGCGTGAGCAAGAGCATTGGAGGTAACCAGCCGCGCACAACAGCTCCCTCCCTCCCTCGTTCCCTTCCTCCCTCGCTCCTTTCGTCCCTTCTTTCCTCCCTCCCTCCCTTCCTTCTTCTCTCTCCTTCTCTTTCTCTTTTTTTGGTTATAAACAGTGTTGGTAGAGAAGGAAAGGAATATGGTATTCTATTCTCAATTATTAAAATAGATTTATAATTAGCAAGAGATAGGGAGGATAAGTAATTATTTCTGGGTAAAAAAAAATGTAACTTTCAATAGCTTCTACTTTAGATATTTTATAGTTCTTTTTTTAGCTTAAATGTGTATTCTTGATGTATTGATATAATATCTGTTCAGAATAGTCATCCAAGTTCTTTTGATTCTTTGACCAGAGTATTTTTCCCTCATTTCTACCTAAGTCTGAATTTGACAATTATACTTAATAGACACATGTTTAATGGTTTGAAAAAGATATTGACCACTAAACTGTACCTTTATTTGTATGCCATTTGTTAGAAATATAGAAATTAGAAATGAAGGATGCTGTAACATATGTTGTGCCTTGGAAACTTCATTTTTTAAAAAATAACTTGTTTTAATTTATTGCCACTAATGCATTGTTGTCCCTGTCAGATGCTCTGTTTTATGTGATTTTTTTTTTCAGAGTGTCATTAAAACTAATACCTTTTTTATTGCAAGGTGTGCCTTCAGGTAAAGTGTCTTCAGTTAGCAGCTCCTTGGGAAATAAACTTCAGACCTTATCTCCCTCCCATAAAGGCATAGCACCCCCTCATGCAGGGTAAGTCTACATTGAACTTAATTTATTAGATATGTATATATATGCATATATATGTGTGTGTGTGTGTGTGTGTGTGTGTATGCATATACATAAAATACTAAGGTTTTATTTTGCTTGAATAATTGGCATTTTCATTAACCTTAATTTTCTTTTTAAGTTCTTTTGTCTTTTAACATAATGCTGGTCAGAAACAAAATCACTGCTATTGATGGTCTAAATTAGTATAACAATATTAGAAGAAAATCGGGTGGCATTTATCAAGTCTTAAAAACATATTTTTGATTGAATGATTTTACTCAGAATCTAGTCTAAGGAAATCATTCGAAATATACAAGGTTTTTGTAATAACCATAATTCATCAAACTTTATGTGTCAGGCACTGTGCTAGACATTTTACATATAATTTTATTAAAACCACCCCATTACCAGGAGATGAGAGATTCAGAAGCAAAGTGATTTACTCAAAGCCACACAGGTGTTAAGAGTTAGAAGCAGGATCCAGATTGGGCTATCTTTGGCTCTAAACATTGGTTTCTTTTCAGGTGTTTTTATTATAATGTAAAACATATAAAATCACCTAATATGTCTCACTTTGTTTGAGGAGCAAATTTTGAAAATCTATAAAGGGATATTATGCAACCATAAAATATATATAAATTTTAATAGGATGGTTCTGCTATAACAAGAGGAATATAGGATACAAACGCCATGTTTGCTAGGATAGAAACTAGAAAATACGTGTAGACAAAAAAGGCAAAAATGCCTTTAATAGTGGGTGATTCTTTTCCTTTTATTTAATATTTTTAAAGTACTTTTTATCTTTCTACAATTTTATATACATGGCTTTCACTAAAGTAGCACAATTAAGCTTTCAACAATTATTTTAATGTGGGAAAATTGTTGATAACACTAGAGACTGATAGAAGTTAATAGATGTTAATTAATAGATGTTAATAGAAATCTTCCTATTCCAGTGGAAACTCACTTTCTCTTCCATTTTGATATCAGAAAATAGGATTACTACATGACCATTAGAGTAAGGGCTTATGTCTATATCTTTAGAAATACTGATTAAGTTGATTTAGGAACTATCAACTTTAAGAATATTATTTTTAGTTTGTATAGATTGTTATTTTAGTTTTTATGTATGAAATACAGACGAGGGTATACATCAGATAAGAGTAGTTGCCTTTTGTTTCCTAATTTGGATTATGTAGAAAGTGCAAGAGCTAAAAGGAATTTAATTCTCGTAGGAAACAGAAAAAAATCAACTAACAAGATCTAATTAGTTAAATGTTTTGTGTTTGTTTGTTTCTTTTTGGTGTGCTTCCAAAAAGAAGAGACAGACGAGCCTTAAGAAAGAGAGAGGTTATCAGTAGAACAGGTAGTTGAAAAGCAAAAGGTTCTCATCTTCCAGTGATAAAAACTGACTTGACTTTTTTTCTCTACTGAGTTGACTTTCATAAAGATAGACGTAACCATGTGTTTTAACTTTACAAAGCCCTTTTAACCATATCACAGAGAATTGCAGTTCATGTTAGTTTCTAGTGTATGTAGCAATGTACATCATCCTGAGGAGAAAATATGCTTTTATTAACAAGCAAAGATTTTGAGCCCATAATTTTATATTATGTACTGCTTATAATGTCATGAAGATTTACAATTTCTGGTTCTCCCACATCATATTAAAACTGTCAAACACAACTGTTCAGATCCCGATTGTCCATTTATACATGATCCTTACATGTTAAAGGAGTGTTTGTAGCTACTGGGAAGACAGCAGTGGTGTTTGCCTCTGGCTAACATATTACTATATTAACTGGAACATTACTGTATTACTGTATTAAATAGGACCATTCATAGCTGTCTGTGTAGTGGCAGACTGCACTCCTCTTTTGGAATTATTGAGGTAATGATCTGTTTGCTTCCCTTTGGGTTGTAGGCTCTGTGACGGTAAAGCTGTGCATGCCGCCTTGCTTGCATGTGTAACTACAAAATGTAGTATAATGCCCAGCATCTAGGCAAAATAAATTTTGACACAGAAATGAAAAAAGTAATGAATTAATAAATTAAATCCCTCATTTGTCAACCTATTGGCACATCACAGAGCTATGGTCTTGGTACTAATGGAATAATTACGTGAAGTTTGTGTGGCAACTATTATTTCTACTGACAGATGATGCAGGATCGAGAAAAGGAATTAGCTGAAATGTTCAAGAAATTGAGCCTCTTCTGAGATTAGTAAAATGGGATAATTTCAGTGACTGGCATATACATAATCTTTATTGTGGTCAGCTTTAGTCATGCATGCCAGTGGTCTGTAATATTTAGCATATATTGGAGTCATACTACAGGAAAAATTCCCTGTATACTTGGGATAATTCTCATGTTTGAAAATTAATTTCTCAGCAATTTTGTGGGTCAACCAATTTTTTGTTTTTAAAGTAAAACATACACCCAATGGAACTTTTCTCCTTATTCTAAAAGATGACTACCTCTAATCCTAGGAGATTTTAGAAGTATGATGAAACACGGCTTTTAAATAAATATTGCCACATTTGAATTGTCACAAAGTTCACACAGTCATGCTTTAAGAATTGTGTTTTCTTAATGGTTAATTACCAGCTTAAATGGATATTTCAGCTGATGATTTTCAATAGCTAACATATCAAATTTCAAAGCTTTTCAGTTCAGTTACTGGTAAAAACAAGTTTACTTTGGAGCAACAGATTGCACGTAAGGAGCTTTAAGTTCTTAACACAGAAATTGAACATAGGTTGAAGCCTTTAAATTCCCTTAGATAATATCATCACTTTTGCAGAGATTTCAATTTTTTCCCCCCAAATTTCCCTTCATCTTATTGCTGCTCTGACTTATCTTTAGTGCTACTGGAGGTTGAGGCACAGAAATAAGGGGTCTGATAAAAAAGGAGACATGAGCAAGTACGTGCTTATGTTCTCTGAAGTAAATGTGAAGATGCTACATGAGAAATGATCAGTTACATCTTACGGTCTGCGTGGTTTAGAGAAAGTTCTTCTTTCACAAACTAATACTTTAAAAATTTATTTAGTTACCCCAACATTGACTTTCATTACATGGTATTTAAAAATATGTGTGTAATCAAGATTTTATATGTATATATTTAGATATATGTACAGAGGGTGCCAAAAAATGTATACACATTTTAAGAAAGGTAAAAACTGTATTAAGATATACTGATAACAAAAGATGAGTACAAGTCATGTTTGACTTCTGCAATTGCAAGAGGTGCTCAAAGTGGTTCCCATCAGCGTCCAGACACCTCTGATTACTGCATACTACTGCTTGAGCAACGTTGACCAGTGTTAACATCTCGTAAAATATCTATTCATTTTTTTGGCACCTTAGTATAATATAGGAGGTTGGACAATTAAGTTCCCAAACTCATCCTAGAAAAAGTGCTACACACCTCATTTCTGAATATCACTACGGTCACCTTCAAAGTACTCCCCTTGGGAATCTATGTACTAACATCAGTACCTAGTCTACCCTTCAAAGCAGTTTTGGAACTCTTTTCCTGAAATGGCCATCAGAGCTGTCATCGTATTACTCTTGATGTCCTGAATGTCATAAAAATGTCTTCATTTCAATATTTCCTTTATCTTTGGGTAAAGAAAGAAGTCATTGGGGCCAGATCAGATGAGTAGGGAGGGTGTTCCAATACAGTCATTTGTTTACTGGCTAAAAACTCCCTCACAGACAGTGCTGTGTGAGCTGGTGCATTGTTGTGATGCAAGAGCCATGAATTGTTGGTGAAAAGTTCAGGTCGTTTAACTTTTTCATGCAGCCTTTTCTGCACTTCCAAATAGTAAACCAGGTTAACTGTTTGTCCAGTTGGTACAAATTCATAATGAATAATCCCTTTGATATAAAAAAAAGTTAGCAACATCGTTGCAACAAGTTCTCAAACTTAATTGCCTAACCTTGTATTTATATGTATAAATTTTTATATATGTAGAATCTTGATTACTATTGAGATTTACAAATTTAGTTTTTGTATGGTTATAAGTACCTTGATATCAGCATTGTATAAAGTAGCAAATTATAGCGCAACATAAGTTTAAGTGATCTTTAGTTTAAAAATAACATTTACTTACATTTAGCCTAAGCAACATCTGAATTCTATTTTATATATGAATACAATTTATTTATTGTATTTATATATTTATAAAATTTATATATATATATATTTATATATTTATAAAACAAAAGTGTATTTTATATATATTTGTAAATATATATATATATATATATATAAATACACACATATACATATACATAGATAGCAAGAGAGATAGAGCAATTGAGTTAAATTTATAACACAGGTATATGGCACAATAAATCATCATTGGAACCTGACTTTCAATTATGTTTTCAAAAAATCTGAAAATACTGGCAATCCTCTCATATGGAATATATGGACGATTCCCTTTGGATAATTACTTTTAGATTTTTATTCGATTTTACACATCTTGTTTCTGAAATTGAACTTTGTTGTATCATATGTAAAATTTGAGTAGTTCTTACTGTATTAGAGGAACCCATCTTAAAAATGTAGTTTAAATTTTTCTAAATTTTAATTTTAGTAACATTTTTCCTGAGAAAGAAAATAAAATATTTTATTCCTTATTCCAAATCCACAGATACAGGTCGTTAAGGTAACTGTGGGAATGATAATGTTTTGGTAATTGTGAAACAATTCAAAGAAAAACTTATTTAAATTCCAAATAGGCAAATTTTCCAGTAGTCTTTCACATATAAAGTAAATCATCAGAGTTAATCTCAAACATCTTACAAATTGTTTTATATATATGCATATATATATTTAATGAAGGCATTTTTAAGACTTTAAAATATTTTAAATAATGTAACATAAACATCACCACCTGCAAAGTATTAATAACAACTTTTACAACAAAACACCTGCATTATACATGGTATCAAAGAACATAAAAATGTATAAAATATGCCCCTCCTTAGAGACCCTTATAATCTAGAGAAATGCCCAGATTCTTTTTAGACACTGAACTATGAGAACTCAAGCATCGCGTCTGTTTTAGGCACCACTCTATCTCCAGGAAGGAGCACAGTGCCTGACACATGGCAGGTGCTCAGGGTTTATCCAGCCAGTGAACATGTGGAAGAATGAATGAGCAAACCAGCATTCCTTAAAAAGAACGTACCGTATTTGCCGGCGTATAAGACGACTCGGCGTATAAGACGACCCCCTAACATTTCCACTCAAAATACAGAGTTTGTTATATGGTCGGCTGTGTGCGATTTTGCGAGTGTGGTAAAATCGCATAACAGCAAAATCGCATAACAGCCGAGCATACACCCAGCAGCGCTGCTGATGCCTGAACGGTATGTGGAATGAAGTGGGCGGGCATCGGGAGGCCACTATGGCACGGGGCAAGCACTATGGGCAGTCTATCTGAAGTGTACCTGGCGTATAAGACGACCCCCCACTTGGAGGCATATTTTTCAGGGCCAAAAAATCGTCTTATACGCCGGCAAATACGGTACTTTTAAAGTGAACAAGCAGTGATGTGTTATTCAATAGTCACTTAAGATAGTTCTCCTGATTTCATCCCGGCTCCCTACTATGAATGCACACTGGTTGGTGATAGTACATGTATGTGAGATTCTGTTATGTGGTTGATGTAAAACAATGAAATATCTACAAACCAGCAATTCTTCCATTATTCTCTAGGTGGAAATCCTTTTTACTTATGGCCTGGCCTCTTAACAGTTTTACATGCAATTTTTCACAATTACCAACCATTTTGTTCACATAGGATCACATTTTTTTCTCTGGATAAATTTCAGAAATAGCCATTCTTTGTTAGAAAGTCAAATTGGGTAAAGATATAAGTATTTATTTGATTTCTTATTTTTGGAATTTTAAAATGGCTGGGGAAATGATAAAGTAAAGTAATAAAGAAGAAAAAAGAGAAAGTTCTATGAATTCAGGGAAGGGAAACAATGAGATTATTGGGGAACTCTGTAACAAGCGTCAGATCTGTCTTATTTACTAGAATAACAACGTTCAGTTCACTCCTAGCTTCACAAATTTTACTTGAAACAGTTTTCGTCTTAATTGTCTTCATTGATTTCATTGTCCTGCTATGTATGCGTGTGGCCTTTATGTGGATAGTCCTTACCCTGGCAGTCAGATAATTAAGAGCTTGGGGGGGCAGGGGAGTAGTGGGGTGGTTCTGATGAACCAGAATAATGTCATTTAAAAAATATTATATAGAGAAGCAAACAATAGCAATCTCCTTATGGGTACACCTTTATATATTTTAATAGTAAGATGGACAAGTTAGGCCCTCCACTTCGAACTGGAAGACATGTGCAAAGCTTGTATGACAGTGATACAAAATCATACAGTGCCATCAAAAGACATGAGTTGTTACCCATTTACAAGTAAGTATTTGTAACTCAGTTTGGTTAATCTTTTTCAGATATTTCCTTAAAAGCATTATATAATGGAATACTATAAACTCGTATATTCCTATACTTAAAAAAAATCTTATTGTAATTGTTTTTAAGTCAAGAAGGCTAAATAATCCTCTAGGACTTAAAACACTTTGATTTTTGGTGAACATTTCTATTGTCCTGAAGCTTTTTTAGAGCATACATTTTATTCCATTAAATTCTGATTTTTAGAGGGTTGAAATAGTAGTCACCTTCAATAATTGTTATTTTTTTAAGAAGCTTTTTTTAGGAGTAATACTTCTGAAAAGAAGAGTATAGGAATTATTATGCCATATATAAAGGCAGGGGAGAAAAGATCCTAGAAAACATTTAACCCAGGGATCCTCAGTCTTTTTGTAGATGGTTATAAATTCCACGTAAAATAGGGGAAAGATATGGCCGTCGTTTTGGAACTCTTCCACATAAGTCTTCAAGGTTTACTAGATTGGGCTCTAGTACAAGCCTAGGCCTCTCATTTTTAAAGTGATGGAAGTAGGGCCTAATAAGTTACTTATTAAAGTTGAAAAATATATTTTTAAGCAGTACACTTAGTTTACTTTTAAACCAAGGCCTACTACAACATTCTCTTACCATGTATGGAAAGTAATAATAAATTTAACTAGATATACAATAAAATAAAGATGGGAGAAGCCTCGAAGATATTAGCAGCAAGCCATGATTTTTTTAGGTAGTTAATGATAAATCCTAGAAGGAAGAATCTGTGCCATAAGCCATTTTTCTGTTTTGTACTATGACTGCATGAAACTCTGACTAACAGGAAGCTATATTACATGCAATTCTAACAGTAAACCTTCTTTTATAGCTTCTTGAACTGTAATGGCCAGATTGCACTTTTCAGACTCAGGCCAGGAAGAAAAATGTGTTCACCTGTGAGTCGGACATGTTTCAAGTACAGATCAGGCCTGTGCTTCCCAATCTCTAAGAACGGTCCTTGACATTTAGGTCCTGCTTCTTAGGAGATGTTACTGAAAATACCTGATTGACATTTAATAATGGCAGCTATTATTTATAATCTTATTTTTTTTCTCTAATTTTTAAAATTTTCTAATTATTTGAACAACTTTAAATTATTGATATGGTAAAGTTGTGTGTGGATATGTGTGGATGTGTTTGTATTATATTATCTGTACACCTTATGTACGTATTACGTGAAAGTGATAAGATTTCTAACAGGACTTTGTTCTACAGCCAAACAATAAAATGTGCTTCCTTCCTATCCTTATGACTGTCACTGGAGGAGCTGCCTGCCGTTCTTGGGCGATGATTGTGTAGAGACTGAATTTCTAAAAAGGCCCTGTAGCTGCTCTGCCACATCCCCAGAGGGGCTAATAAAAGTAGAGTGGAATACACAAGATGGACCTGTAGTGACCATTTGAAGGTCATTTGAGGTCAGGAGTAACCCATTCACACACCAAGGTGATTTCTGTAGAAGTTTAGAAATAATTTAAAGTAACAATTCAAAGCAGCATCCCTTTGAATGATAGCATTGCATATTAAATATAAGATTCGTAATACGACCCAGTTAAATGCAAGTTCAAGTAATCTGATCATGCAATAGCTTAGCAAATTAATTTCTCTGAATATGAGTCTCTTTAACTTTAAAATGGGTATATCTTCTGCATTTTTGTGAAGATTAAACAAAGTGAAGTATGTATGGTGCCTGGCATCATATTTGGCATGTAGTGGGCATTTGAAAAACAGTAGATGTGTTACCAGTATGTATTTTCAAGGCAGCTATTTAAAATTCTAGGAAACTCTCTCCGTCTTTGCTATATAAGTAGAGTAGGAAGAATCTCAGCCAGAGTTTAAGAACTTCCAATCTAAAGAAATTTTTTAAAGCATTCTGCTTGTTCATCTAACATAACATTGCTTATCTCTGAAATGAAAAGATTCAAGTAAATCTCTAAAGAGCAGGAGGGAACTAATTTACCGAACATCTGACCCCTAGTTCAGCAACATACTGACTGTGTCACCTTGGGTAAGGTACTTGACTGCCCTTTGCCTCTGTTGTAAAACGGAGTTATTAAGTCTACCTACTTTATAGGGTTATTATGAGGATTAAGTAAGTTCATATATAAAGGCAATTAGAGATGTGGCTATACCAAGTGTAGGAAGCACCATTATATAAAGGTTATAACTTGTATAGTAGCAACAACCATAGTGGTAATGATACTATCATTCTCAGCTGTGCTAAATGTTCATATAAATTAAAATTTTTATCTCGTAACCTCTTATAAGATAAGTAATGATGGACTCAGAGAGGGTGACCACTGTCACCCAGTTGGTCAGTAGCATTGGGAATTGAAAACAGATTCATTAGAACCCCAAAGCCTATACTTTTACCATTATACCCTTCTAAGTTTTCTTTGATCCAACCACAACTCTTCCAGTGATACCAGATAGCCAGGCTGTGTGTTGGTGAAATTAAACCTTTAAAGGGAAAATTATATTAACCCATTTATTTTAGTTGCTGTTTCTCACAATAGACTCTCAAAAATTGACTATTAGCCTCTAAAGAGGCTGGCTAATGTTTAAAGTCGTTAGCTAATTTTCTTTTAGCATAGCTCATACACTTAACAAATAATTTAATGGTTATTCATTCATAGGCATTTAACAAAACACATCTCTAATTTGAGGGAACTGTAGATTTTAAACTTTAAAAATCTTGAAGCCTTTCAGACTTATTAACTTACAAATTTCATGTAAAGCATATGTACATATTTTAATTGATCTTTTATATCATCAGGATAATGTTAGGAAATGCAAAATGCTTTGATTTCTCTTTAGTATTAGCTACCATTGTTTTCATATTGAAAATAATTATTTGGATTTTAATCTTTTGACTTTATTTGTCAACAGTTTCTAATTACTTTTAATCATAAAAATAAGCAATTTGAGAAATAAATGATTACCATTCAATGCTTTTTCATTATGCCATCTCTTTCTTCTAGTACTAACATCAAACCTCGAAATTCCACGCCACCTAGTTTGGCACGAAATCCTGCCTCAAGCGTACTTACAAGCAAAAGAAAAACATATGCTGAGAGCTACATGGCCAGGTATGTTTAGCTCTGACATTTTAATAACATCTAGTTTAATAAGTAAACTAAATAACATTTAGTTTAATAAGTAAACTAAAAATAAATATATGTAATTTTCCAATGACCACCTATAAAAATATGTATCTGGCTTTTATGCAAAATCTGATTTTTCTTTTTTATATGATTTAATCTGGCTTTTAAGCTGTACACTAAAGAAATAGTTTGTACATAAATAATATTTTCCTATACCTTACAATTATTGTTGTAAATTCACAGGGATAGTTTGTTCCATTGCACTGACTTCATTTGTGTTTTTTATATCTATTTTTAACTGCAATATGGTTATTTTTACTTCTACAAGTTGAATAGTAGACTCTTTAAACCACTATTACAATTTTCAGCAGCATTTTAGTTTAAACTCCCCCGCTGAGGTTGTGATTATCCATGTACTTCCCTTTCTAGCCTGTCACAAGATTTGTGTAATGTTGACATTCACTCTGTTTTGAAGCATATAATGAAACTGTCCCAGTTGTAGATACTTATTTTTTACACAGATCCTAACTTATTCCAGAAAGTTGTTTTTGTTTTTTTTTTTTTTTTAGCTGAGCCATCCTGCTACCTGTTGGCAGCTCAGCGGCTGCTCAGCTCAGGCTGGACTTGAACCGCTGTTGCTCAGAGCTCAAACTCTTGAGCGAGCTCTTAACCAACTGAGCCACTCAGCCAGCCCCCCAGAAAAGTTTTAAGGCAAGGTATATAAATTCATGATGTACACTGCGATACAATATTTTTTTAAAATGAAAGAAGACTAGAAAGAGGAACATGAGAATTAAACCATAACAGTGAAAAAGGAGTGAAGTTAGTCCACAAAATATTCCAGAAAAATATAAGGCAAGGTACATGAAGCAAGATACTTAGAAAAGGGAAACTTCCATAAAACAAAAATATAAATAAAGCTAGAGGTCAGATTGATCACTTAATCCTGACATTGCAGCTGCGCTGAGACTTGGACTGATCTTCACTACTTAGAGGCTCGGGTTTTAATGTCATTGTGGGAGAAAGGAGTTGATTGCTTGGACTCACACAAAATGCAGTGTTAGAAACTCAGCTTTGCCTTCCCCTCCCCCATGCCTCCTGCTGTAAGTCAGGACTCTTGAAATGCCCACCGAGGGGTCATCTCAGGCTCAGCTAGAGATACTCACATGACAGTGTTACATGTGGCGTGGAGTTATTTACCGGAAGTACAGAATGACAGGGCAACATCAAGTGACAGCTTAAGTGTGAGAGAACAAGATCTCATAGGTGGTGGTAGGAACAGTTTAGAAATTTTATGTCCCCTGAGGGAACCAATATCTCTTATAACAGTCCTGGTTGTCCTGAGGGATGTGTTCAGTTTCAATCAACTATGTATAAGTACTGTTACCTGGAAAAACAGTTGGCAGTCCACCATTAATAGGGTTTCGTTAAACAGAGCCAGGAAGTTGTCCCAATGCCAAATGTGTCCACAGAAAGGGACACATTAACCCTTTTCTCAACAATATTCAAAAGGTTATCTATCTCTCAGTGAAAGGATGGATTAGGAAAAAAGATTCCATCAACCAGGAAGTAGAGACCCCATGGAAACTTGTCTGTCACAGCCATAGCTCAGAAGAATGCGAGAGTTCCCGGATCATTCGTAACTATAGGCTTATGTTCACCTGAGTTTAAGGTTTAAATGTACAATATCTGCGTGTTCTGAGAAATTCTTAACTGGACACATAACTTATGAAGTGACCGTGTAGTAGCTCCCCCAGAGCCTGTAAAAGCAAAAGCAAATCGACGGGTGTGAAATGCTCTGAACCCAGGCTTCCTGGTTCTCAGAGCAAACATGAGCTCACAATTCTGACTTACAAGGCACACACGGAAGTTCCAAACTATCCTAAGAAACTAGCAATCAGTCGCAAGTGAGAGCAGAAAACAGACACAAGTGCCCATTACTTAAGATTTTGAGATCATCAAACATTGCTTATAAAATAAGTCTGTTTAAAGTATGTAAAGAAATGAGAGATAAGAGAAAGAATTGGAATCATAAACAACAACAGTATACTATCAGAGAAAGATTTGAACACCTTTGTGAAAGAACCAAACAGAACTCAACATAAGCAAAGAAACAAAAATTCAAACGACCGTTTAAATTGTAGCTTAGACACAGCAATAGATGAGAAGTGAACTAGAGAACAGATTTAAAGACATTATCTAGGGACAAATATAATGCCAAATAAAACCTTTAGAATTTTTATATTTACAAAAAGAGGTTCTTTTTTATCTGAATGAGAAGAATATTAAAAATGAGATTAAGCAAAATTTTAGTTATACTTAGTGTGCCCTTTTTTCTCAGGGTTCTGGGTTGAAAACAACTGAAATGAACTTTGTGTTTCTTTTTTTCCCTGTACTTCTCCAGGCCAGATGGAGACTATATATCTTCACTCAATGGTGGGAACATTAAAGGCATTGAAGGAAATTCATCTGGACACTTACCAAAATTCTGCCATGAGTGTGGGACGAAATATCCTGTAGAATGGGCAAAGTTCTGCTGTGAATGTGGCATTCGAAGAATGGTTCTGTAAACAAAATCCCAAAAGAAAAAGAGCTAAGTCCAGAATTTTATGACTATTGCTGCTTCCAGCTAGAGCACTTCCTCTAGTTATTTTGTGCTAAAATTCTTCAAAATACTTTTTTCAGCAATTTTGGGAGCATAATCCTTTGGCTATGTAGTGTGTGTGTGTGTGTGTGTGTGTGTGTGTGTGTATGTGTGTGTGTATATATATATGTACATATACTGTATATAATAAATACCTGATACCCCAAACTGTGCCATTCAAGGAAATATTTGCTTATCTGTCAGAAAATAATTTCAAGTGGAATCGTTAACTTAGGTATTACTTTTATATTGCTGTCGTTAAAAGCCAGTAAGTACACATCTACAAACCCTCAGACTCTAGTGCTCGCCCCCTCACGCTTTAGGATGATTATTACTTTGAGCAAAAAATCAAACATTTTTATTATTGGTGCCTATTTTCACATATTATTGGTATCTACTATAGTAGGATGGGATGCTTGGAATTTTGGAATTGAAGAGAATATTTTTAGTTACAATTAGTTATGTGAGGTCATTTTCCTATAGAGCTCTTCAACAGTTAATTTATAAATATTTTAAAAATAGAAAAAAAAAACCTTAAGGTCTATGTTACCCTTAACTAGGTATATGAATAATTATATAATTTAAATATCTTTACTCATTCTCTGAAAACGTAATGCAATTTCCTTTTCAGAGACACACGGCTGAAAATACAAATATATCTTATTCTAGTTATAGCAGAATGTTTTTTTTTACCTCTATGTATTATTTGAAACTATATTCCTTTTTACTTCTAACTGCGTCTTCAAAAGTTTCACTTTTCTTTCTATAACCTCATGACTAAAGAGTAGTTTTAATTTACTACTTCATTTTTACAGTTTGAAATGTAATTATTTAATATAAAAATGCAGAAATTTCCTTCAAAATCTTTCCTGTTTTTTTTCTATGTATCTAAATGTAGAAGAAATTACTTTAATGGATTTTAAAACAAATCGCCTCACCTAATAAATAATAATTTGGGTAAATAATCATTAGTGCAGGGCACAGAGGTAAAAGTATTCAAATTCAGTCCCTTGAAGTAGTTAGATATAGTTATGACTAGGTTAAGAGAATATCTAATTTTTCCTACTCATATTTTCTTTTTAGTTTTTAATGTTGAAACACCATTCACATGACAAGGTACTGAAAATGCATTGCTTTAGTGCATACCTGCTTATTATGTGATTAAACATTCACAAAAATTTAAGTATATCTCTTTAACTTTGGCTAAAATACAGCTTTTGATCATTGTCACACGCAGTGTAATACAGTATATAGTACTAGATCTCTGCTTGTGCAGCCACATTCAGTAATTCAGTAGTAATTTCTGCTGAATCATACCTAATAGCTTTGATCATATCGTAAGGTACAAGCAAAGCTCTCATGGGCCATTTCTAGCTTCCTGTTTATGATTTTGATCAACTATAAGCATCAGTGTAGAAATTGGTGGCTTATAGTTTTCTCTGAAATTCATTTATGCTTACACTTTATAATTTTATTCATTAGTCTTTATTTTTTCATTCAGGCAGGGGATATCAACTTAATGGTAATGGCAATTGTCGTTTTACTTGCATTAATTGTCCTAATTGTTATCAATCACATGAAGAACTTTAACTCTTGTTTTATCTAGAATGGAGTTCTATTTTTTTTCAAGTGTTTTTTAAGACCACATAAATTTTCGTCTGCTCAAGGAAAGAGTAAATAAATGAGCTTAAATAAAGTGGCACGTGTTTTGAGTCTCACTGAATTTTTTAGCAAGTAAATGTTATAATGTACTACCTGGAAAATGAATTTGTTAATAAATCATCCAATTCCAGAACACAGAGATTATTATATATAGTAAGTAGGTGAAATAGATTCACGAATTATGAAACATGTTATGACATTGTATTTAAATGCATTTTTTATATTACTTGCATATATTATTCTCACATTGATTTGTTGTGCAATAGTTCAATTTCTAAGAAATTTTCCTAGATCTATGCATTTATTTTATTTTTATTTATTTTCACAAGTATTTGCCAGTGTGGTAGAATTAAAAAAAGATTGTAAGCTTAAATTAAAATGTAAAAATTGCTTATATATCATTCCGAAAGTTATTAGCTTGGAAAACTAAGATTATTATGACTGCTGTTTTCTCTTGTTCACTGTTTTTATATTACAAATAATGTTTTCATTTTTTAACCTATTCAATAAAGACATGAAACCAAAAAAAAAAAAATGCTAGTTGGTTTTCATTGATGTCTTCCTTATCCAGACATAGGTAGAAAGATAGGAACACACAGAAATATAAAGGAAATATTCGAGCGTTTTCAGTGCCATGTGCTCGCGGGGCCACCTCCTGTTTTTCCCGCTGCTTCCGAGTCCCCGCCCACACAGCTCCGGCCGCCTGGCTCCCCGTGCTGGCCACCGGTATTTGGTGTTCTTACAACACGGCAGGCATCGACAACAAAGAGCAGCCTGAATTCAATCAAAATGTGGATGATGTTGAAGAAGTAGAGGAAGAAGAAATTGGTGAAGAAACAAAAATCAAAGCACATCAGCTGACTGTTCAGATGAAATCCTAAGATTCTCGCAGTCCTTCAAGAAAGACTTGACCGGCTGGTAGAAACACCAGCAGGATACATTGAAAGCTTGCCTGGGGTAGTAAAAGGTGAGTGAATGCTCTCAAAACCCTTCAAGTTAAATGTGCACAGATAGAAGCCAAGTTCTATGAGGAAGTTCATGATCTTGAAATAAAGGATGCTGTTCTCTATCAGCCTTTATTTGGGAAGCGATTTGAGATCATTAATGCCATGTATGAACTTACAGAAGAAGAATGTCAATGGAAACCAGATGAGGAAGATGAAATTTCGAAGCAGCAGAAAAAAAAGGCCAAGATTGAAGATGAGAAAAAGGAGGAAAAAGAAGACTGCATGGGAATTCCTGGACTTTCGTTGATTTTAGGAATGCTGACTTGCTCAGTGATACGATTTGGGAACATGACAGACCTGTTGTGAAGCACTTGAAAAGTATAAAAGTGAAGTTCTCAGATGCTATCCAGCCTATGAGTTTTGTCTTAGAATTTCACTTTGAACCCAGTGACCTTCACAAAGGAGGTGTTGACAAAGATACAGGATGAGGTCAGAAAAAGATGATTCTGATCCCTTTGCTTTTGATGGGCCAGAAGTGATGGGTTGTACAGGGCACCAGACAGATTGGGAAAAACGAAAGAATGTCACCTTGAAAACCATTAAAAAGCAGAAACACAAGGGACTTGGGACAGTTCGTACTGTGACCAAATCAGTCTCCAATGATTCTTTATTTTTTTGCCCCTCCCGAAGTTCCCGAGAGGGGAGCTCTGGGTGATGCTGCTGAAGCTAGCCTTGCTGCAGACTTTGAAACTGGTCACTTTTACATGAGTGTATAATCCTAAGATCAGTGTTATAGTTTACTAGAGAAGCTATTGAAGAAGATGATGATGATGCTGATGATGCTGATGATGATGATGAAGAAGAAACAGCAGCAGCAGATGGGGAAGGGGAAAAAGAAGGTGAGGAAAATGGTCCAGACTATGATTCAAAGAAGGTTCAAAACCCAGCAGAGCACAGGCAGCAGTGAGGCAGGACAGATGTGGCCTTGAAGATAACCTACAACTGGTCTACCTTCTGCTTCCCTGGAAAGGATAATTTTCATCACTTGACAAGCCTAGTTCACAGTTTTTGTCGTATGTTTGCTTGTTTTTGTTTTTGCAGCCTAAAATAAAAATGGCAAATATCATTTTAGTTCTCACAAGATAATGTCTTAATTTTGTACTAATTCAGGTAGAAGCAGAGCCCTAGCTTGAATTAAGCATGGTGCTCAGTAAACCATATTGAAGAAAAGGTGCCAACTTTGGGAGAGGTGCACTGCATCGCCTAGTAAGAAAGTAAAAAATGAGACAAAATCTTGAATGATGTAATTTTTTTTAAAAGAAAGATTAAAAAGTTAAGTTGTATTTCCCTTAGTTAGAATGGGAGCGGGCCCCAGGCTTCTATGGTTAATTTCAGTTCTTCCTTTAACGTATATTATTTACCCATAAAGTATATTCTGTTTACTATGTATTAAAATGGATAGTACTGATAACTATCTCACAGACATGTTAGGAACATTAAGTTAAATTTTATGAAATGTTTCTCAACCTTATTCAAAGCTCAATAATTTGGACCTATTTGCACCACAAGTGTGATAGTCAGCATTTTATTCATAGGATTTGATAAATAAACTGGAAAACAAGTTAAGTACTTTATTCTAGATCTAGTCAGGCAACACTCTTTTGTGCGGCTCCTCTTTTAATACAAGTAGATGGATAACCATTTCAAAAGGTCCAAGTATTGTTTTTAGGTATTTTAGTTATAACCATATTGTGGAGATCATGGGACTAAAATAGAAATAAGACCATTTTTAAGGGATGGGGGGGGAATGCCATTAAATTTGAGACTGTAGAGCCACATTTAAAATACCTCCGGCTAATTACTGTTAATTTTTTGTGGTGAGCATAAAAGCTTTGACACAGTGGACTAACTGAATTTTAATTACAGGACAGCTTAGTTTCTGCACTTAATAAAATTGCATTACGTTCATTTTTAGAGGCAATAAAGCGTCCATTTCGAAAATTTAGTATTGAGGTCTTAGAATATGAACACATTTTGTTATTTCTATAGAACTATTCATTCTGCTTTTGAGATTTTAATTAACTACTGGTAATCCTTAACCAATTGCAATAGTTAGTAGGAAAAAACTATGCCATGAAAGCACCTTATGTTTTCCCTCTTCATTTTCAAAATGATTTTGGTTGCTTTGGTTAGACATTCTGTGCTGATTTATTTATTGATTTTTTTTGGTACCCATAGCTCATTTGAACACAGTTGAACTTAAAAAAAATTTTTTTAATCTAAAGATAGAATTCCATTTTTAATGAACTTCAAGTAGTAAAACTACTACTTTTTCCCCCCATTTCTTTAGGAAATATAGCTATTGCCAAAGTGAAGGGGGAGATACTGTTTCTTCTTGTTATATAAAGGGGATGTGGCTTGCAGAGGAATTGTTCTCTTAATAATTAAGTTGGAGTTTCAAGGGATATCAGTGTTCATCTATGCCATCTCTCCAGTTCCAATGGTTCTGTTCTATTTTGGAAATTTGAAATATGTAACTTGAAATCCTCAATACAGTTTGCATTTAATTAAAAAAATATTCAAAGTCAAAACACATACTTTTTAAATGAGAGAGTAACTTCTTTTATTGGCAGGTTGTGTGTGTGTGTGTGGGGGGGGTCAATTGTTAAAGAAATTGGTATTTTATTCAAGAGTTTTTTACCTCAAAGTCTAAATATGTTTTGTCACAAGATTCTTTAGGCATAGTAGCATTCTCTTCACAGCCAATAAAATTAAGCAGTTGAAAATTTTAGTGACGTTAAGGTTGATAATAAACATTAATTTTTCTAATTAGGTAATATACAGTTTAATAGCAAAAGTATTTGTTATGAGTACTTAATAGTTTAGACCATCATGTATAAAATTTTAAACAGGAGTTGTTTGTTATCTCTAGAGTAAATACGATCAGATTAGACATGTTTAATTTGCAATCAATTTTCCTTAGGCTAGAGTGAACAGTACTACCAGAGTAGAAGCTCAGGGAATTAAAAAAATAATAGAAGAGGTACTCAGCTGCAGACTTACCAGGACTCTTGTGTCTATTTGCAGGTATACGTATTTTATATGGTATGTATATTTTTAGTACTAAGATAGGTTGATTTTCCCAACTGACTATATTATTGAATAGAGCAGTGGCGAATCATTAAGACAAAGTTAATGACAGCCACACTCATTTTTAACCTTTTCAAATTTTTTCACTTAAATATTATTGTCAGGATACTCATTAGTTATATACTGTTTTGCCACTAGGGGGTGTTTTTGGATAATATTTCCAGCTTCTATTATCTTAAAGCCCTCTCAGCAATATCAGTATGAATTTTTTTTGGAAAACATGAAATTACAGAGATTTATAAGAGGTAGGTTTTGTTGTTGCTGTGATTTTACTAATCCATGTTGATTTCTTACAAACCTAGTCTAGCTCATTTTCTGCAATAGTGTGCTTGTAATTGATAGAAATAGTTAATATTTACCTCAATATTGTTAGCAAAATTATACACCCCAAACATATTACTCATGCACATTAGCAAATAACCCTGTACTATTTTAATATTTCATCTTAGTTGTATAAGTTATACTCTTTAAGATAAGGATACTTTTTCAGTCCTCTTCTAACTTTATGTAACAGATGAGAGTGACTGATGTCTATTTAAATAATTAAGTGGTTATACCAACTAATGTAAGATGCACAAAGCTACAGCAATATACTTACAAACACTTAAAATATGCTTTCTATGAAGTGCTAAGAATCAAAAGAAATAAGATGTGATTACATTTCTGCCCAAAAGTTGATATAATTTATCTGGAGAAGCTGATATGTAAACAGACAATTACAACTTAGGACACAAAGAAAGATTTGTTTTGACTTCCGGTAAGATGGCGGAATAGACAGACGCTGTGCCAACTGCCTCCCAGGATCACATCAAAATTACAAACAATTTATACAACATTCAACCTCGGAAGTCCCCTGAACACTCGATGAACAGAACACTAGATGAAGGACTTAAAGAGGAGGCCACATCGAGTCTGGTAGGAGGGGTGGAGAAGAGAGAGGGCGAACCCCGTGAGGGTCACCTCAGCGGTGGGGAGGCTCCTCCAGTTGGGGCGAGACCCTCCGGCCCCACACCGCGCTCACCACCCCAGAGTTACGTTGCCGGGAAGAGTTCTACGATAGCTGGAAGGAGAAAACAGTGAGGACTCTCTTTGCTCAACTCGGTGTGGCTCAGGGCGGTTAGAGAACCAGTGGAGCCGGCAAACAGACTCGCTCACTGGTGAGCACTCACCTGGTTCCTGGTGGAGGGAGTAGCTGTGTGAGCGGAGCCCAGGAGCCTGCGGGAAGAACTGAAAGTGCCGTTGACACGGGAGCTGGAGGTTTGGGGACCATTGTCCCCCTGGTGTGGAGCTTGCACACCAGTAGTGTACAGGAGGGTGCCGCTTTTTCAGGGCTGGGCCCTCCCACAGAGGCCAAGGTCTCAGACCGCACAGAGCTGATGGAATTGGCGCAGGTGTGCGCGCGTGCGTGCGTGTGCGTGCGTGCGCGCG